TGGTATCCAGAAGTTTCGCTGGCCGAGTCAATCTCCTGACATGAACCCCATCGAAAACCTTTGGGCCATACTCGACCGGCAAGTCAAGGAACAACCAAAAAAAACCAACTTCGAAGAGCGATCCACTCCAAGTTTTGAAGCAAGAGTGGGCGAAAATCCCACAATCTAAAATTGACGAGATGATTCTCACGATGCCCCAAAGGATCAACGAACTCCACGAAGCGAAAGGAAGATCTACTAGCTATTAATTAAATTATAAATATATAAATTCATGTGGATATGACTGAAAATTTTCATTTTTTCTGAAAAGGTGGTGTCTATATACTTGTGACCACGCTGTGTATATATGATTTGCAAAGATTTTGTTTACATACTCCTGAGGATGACGTGATTTGACATCGAAACGTATTATGAAAAACGTCCACTGTTTGAATATTTTAATTATATTTACACAAGTATCTTGAATTTTAACCTTTTAACATTAACACTTTACTTAGTATTGAAGAACTTTCTATAGTTTCAGTTTTAGCCTTACTTAGAGCTTCAACTGTTTGCAAAATGTGAAACATTAGTTAATATCGCCGTCAAAAATGTAAAAAAGTGGTATTTTCCCTATGGTTGAACAACCATGTTATTTTAAGATTATATGATACTTGTTTCCTCAGGTGGCAATTATATGCTGTTAATTCAGTTATCAACAATGTCATTTATGTGGAAATATTAAAATTAAGAACAGTTTTGAAACACGACTGTTAAATATGTGAATTCTGTTAGAAAGCAGGTTGTATTAAATATATTTAACTTAATTTTTAGCACATTTTTACAATTTGTTAATCTTGACCTTGTTAGTTTTTGAGAATCTTGTTTATCAGTATCAAACTTCTAATGATTGTTCTTCATATTATTATTTACTTATAATGAAAACATCTTCGGTGAAACATGATTAAAATTGACTGTGGTGTTTTAAAACGAGCTGTTTTTGTCATTTTAAATTGATTAGATGGGGACCCAGTGGTGTAGAAGAGTATCAAAAGAATTTTAACATGCTGATGGCAAAACTCCAGGAAACTGTAGTAGAAAATTGCTTAGTAATCTGGACCACTACTTTGCCTCTGTCACAGAAGATGAAAGGAGGTTTTTTGGTACCTCAGTTGGAGTTTCTCAAATACTCTTTACGTTTTCACGTCATGGAAGCAAACCTTTATGCTCGACAGGTTAGTATGCCTTTCTCTTTTAAACAACATTCTCAAGTTATTGTAAATGGCGTTCAAAAAATTCAATTTAGTTTGTAAAACTGAATTGTGAACTTGCATAATTAAATGCATATAATTTTTTATACAATCATATGTAAATTAAATTCTTGAGTTGTTAAAGCTTTATCATTTTCCTTTAATAAAAACAGTGTCAAAAATATTTAGTATTTAATATTGAGGTATTACAGTCGGCTTTGTTCTGCATAATTACTGCAATAGGAGTAGATAGTATTTTATTGTTTGTTTTTATTTAAAAACTAAGTTATCTCTTACAATGTCATCTATCTTTTTTATACTTGGGCTTCATATTATGTTAGTATGGAATGTGATATAATTAAATTCTCTAAAAATCTATTCTTAGGTACTGATATGATGAAGAATTGTTAAGTATCTTAAAAATAGTAAATGTTTTTTTGTTTTTTTCATGTATGTACTCTGTTCTAGCTTTTGCAAGAAATTTGTACATGGAAAAAATTAAAAAACTTGACCTGTTGAAACATGTACAGTTGATTTGAGTCAGTTTCAGATAACTATTTTTAATTGTGTAAAACGAAAACTTAATTCTATTTTCCAAAATATGCTTAAGTTACTTAACTATGTGCCTAGGTGTGTATGTATGTCATAAAAATCATGTTAAGTTTAATTGAAATATAATTTTTATGAAACCTTTCTGAGAATCAGTGTTTTAATGACTTTGCACTTTTTCTACATTTGAGGTGCAACTGGTATTAAGGTCAGAAATCTAGATTAAGTAAAAGACAGGAAGTTAATTCTTTGCAGGTAGTTGTCAAGCATGGTTTTGATGTGCTTGATATGCACTATAACTTGAGGATGCAAATTGACCAGAGAGCAGCAGATGGAATTCACTGGTTGCCTCCAGCATTGAGATATATGACCAACCTCCTGTTGACCCACATCTCCCTAGCCCTGGGGGTTCCTCTTCCACACAGGTATTACAATTGGTTGTTATTATTCTCACTGTATACTAGTGTGTTTAGTTTTTATCATAAGTACATATACTTTCTCTTCTGGTGCAGTTTTTTCTTATCTTTGTAATTTTTAATTTAAATGCTTCATTTTAAACTCATTTGTGAGACTGAAAAATATACAATGAATGTTTTGTATTAACTCACATTTCTCTAGCCTGTAGTTGCTCCTTTTGCAGATAATATAGTATTTTTCCTTTTTTTGTAGTTGAAATGTACAGTTTATTATTGTTAAGGTTTACCAATTACCCTCAAATATATAGATAGATGGATATAGATGTTAGTTGTATGGTTCAAAACACTGATACACTATCTAACTCTAATTTAAAAGTTTTTGGGGAAAACACTGAAGGTTTTGTAAACATAAAAGTAGGGAAATTTAATGTAAAAATAAGGAGTGTCTTATTAAACACTTAACATAATTATCTTTACAGGATTGAAATATAGTAATTTTTATTATTATTAGACAAGATATTCAGAAAGATAATGTAAATAGATGTTCAGAAAAATTGATTTTCATTCATCTCATTCTGTATGAATTAGTGATCACTTTGGATAATGGTTTTCAGTCAACAGTTTGATCATTGAGTGATTTATTATTATTCTATAGGATTTTCTACATTGACTCCTAAGATTCACTATTTTTTGAAGATCATATATTAGTGGGAAGATAATTTTTTCAAAATTTCTCCATCTTGAACTAAAAACTTTATTTACTAGCATGTCTAGCTCTACAAAATTTGAGTCCATCACACAGTTTGTCGCTGTATAATTATATATATCCCACATTATAGCCTCAGCCCTGGGGATCCTTTTGATTTGTGCAGCGCCTTTATTCAACTTTTGTTTGGGCTTGTTTTTGTTCATTTGAATGTTATTTATTATAAGTTTGGATTTGCTGTTTGTAATGCAGTCCTTCCTTCTGATTTTGTATTGATTTTCTACACATACATACATACATACATATGTATAAATATAAAAGGTAACTGTAATATCTGAATATTTACTGTGAAACATCATATGCTATGTTTATTCTCTCACACAGGTTCATTTCTGCATTGAATGATTCAGAGATGGAAACTATGGCTAGTTCTGTTCAGGCTCATTCTAAAAATAATGATAGAGTGAACAATCAGGAAAATGGAGATCACTTTGATCACCAGGTAAGGTAGTAGAATGACAACCAAGAAAATCTAAGTTTAAACTGTGATATTTAATAAGTGTGATACATGAATGCTTTATTTGTCATTAAAAAAAAATCTGATTTAAATGTTTTGTTCATTTTATTTTATGAATTACAGATTTTTATTTGTAACTTTTCAACAGCTTATTAAACAATCTATAATTTATTGAGAACTGTTGCCTTCAAGTATGTATGTGTTCATGTTTGGTCTAATTGTATTTTACCAAATAATAGCTTGTGATATACTTTATTTTTTCAGCCTGAAGAGACCTGTCCATCAGAAAGGGATATCCTATTTAATAAAAATCAATCTGTAGTCAGTCAAGAGGGGACAACATTTACAAGAAAGATTCATTATTATGATAAAGTCCAGTTAGATCAGAATGCATATCAATCTTCTTCATCCAATGATCAGCCTCACTTGCCAAAGAGAAAATCACCTTTGCTGTTGCACCACATCAAACCTTATGATCATCCACAAACAGATCCTTTTCAGGTAGCTAAATCACATATCACTAAACAAGCTCAAACATCTTTAAGATCAAATTGTTTTGGAGTAGTAGAAAATATTAACCAGCCAGTTGGTACTTCTCAGTATTCTTATAACCTAAGAAAAGAAAGTTATAGACTACCTTGGAATTCCATCACTCAGAAAGGTTCCATTTCAAAACAAACAGCTGAATACCCTAATGCACACATGGCTTTTTATCCAGTGCATTCTTCTGTATATAATGAAGACCATTTGCAGTTACTAAAGACAGGCTTCTCCCAATTAACACATCATTCATTAGGAAGTCATTTTGATAATCGCACCATGCAGGAACGATACGGTGGGCCTGTACGAGCAGCATCATGGATGTATAATGCAACCTAAAACAATTACCTTTTTTCTAACATTAAGGTCTATCAATCAACAAAGTATTGAAGGGGAGGGTTGCATTTTTTAGGTCCTAAATAAAGTTTTCTATAACCAAACACTTTTCAAATAAAAATGACATGAAAATTTCTTAAAAACAATCTATTTAAGCAACCATTATAAAATGGGCAATATTAGTAAACCCCAGCACAAAAAGTACACAACTATCTGACATATGTAAAAAACGCACTTTTAAATTAATGTATGGTTCCTAGAAGTTATGCTTTATTTCTATATTATGACGAATTTTTGTTAACATTGCAGTGGAAATTTTCACTTCATACTAAAACTAAACTGTTTCTTGGATGACAGACCAAAATGTTTTTGTAATTAAGTATGGAAGTTCATACATGTGTTATTCAAGAGTTACTGTAATTTTGAGGTTTTGTTTCTTATGCATATCTGTTTTTAGTTTTTATTCCCAAGAGTTTAGTTGTTTTGCAGTGTACAGTCCTTTCTGACAGAGAAAAAACAAAGTATTTCGGTACATCATAACTTTAAGTTACATTTATAATGTTTAAAAACATTGCTCTTAATTCATTGATATTTGTCTGTAAAGGTGCTTTACTGTAGCATCATCTTTTGAGTGTAGTAAATCATCAGTGATGATATATTTGTTTATACTTGTACAGAGTTAATAAAGACTTAACATACTTTTCCAAGATTTCAGTCTGCTTTCTTCAGAAAGCCCAAACAATTGGAGACTCACCTTCACTAACATACGTTTCTGGTGGATCACTCAATCAGGAATTACACTCACTATAATCTTACTTGGACACCTCTAATATCGAAAACTGTGTGCTGTCGTCACTTGAACTAAAAAGCCTGTAAGAAATATTCAAAAAGTTGGTCATTATGGGGCTTACCTCAACAACTGCACTTTTACACCTGTTTAGAACAGTCACACAAGGATAATTTCTCTTGTACTCACTGTCATGTTCCTTTTTTAGACAAGCAAAAACTGAATCATTCTCCCTCAAATTCTATGTGATATACCAAAGGCTGTTGTGTAATTATTCCAACTTTAAAGCAAGACAGTCTTTCAGAAACTATCATACAGCAACTAGTCTTCTGTTTGAGTTATTATTAGTAGATGGAAAAGCTCTATTTCAACCAACATTTTCCTTGGTGTTCTTCAGATCACAAGACTGGTAGTAACCCCACATCGACTACAGTGGATAAATCCTATTTTAAATCCAGTTCATTATTTCAAAGTTCAGAAAGTTATACTTTTAATCATTAATAAATACCTCTACAATTCTGTAGGTTTTATGAGAAGCCAATATTTAAACAATTTCTCTCTCTCTAATGTGGAACAATTTTATTATGAATATCAGAACTTTGAACTTAAAGAAGCCTTGATGTCTGGTTGTGAAAATGTGATGTTAGCTAAAGAAGTCCTATTGCATTCAATTGGTCAAGGTGTCCCAGAAGTAAGGCAATATTTTCAAAACTTGTATTTATATACTTTTAGACCTTCAATGAGAAAGAATTCTGAAGAGGTTAGCAGTTTTAGCTACAGTCCTAAGGGTTATGAAATACCTTACATCACGTTTTATGGTGCAATCTTTGGATAATAAATTATCAGTCATAACTGGATCTCAGCACTTTAACATTAATATGTGGATATCTGGAGATGAAGACAGAGGTTCTGATTTCAACTTAAATATTAATACTCTGAGGTTTTCAAATTGTCGGTTTTCTAGTGATCAGACAAACTTAGGATCTGAAAGTTACATAGAAATTGAGCCCAGAACAGCTTTGTACAATGCCAACACTGGTCAGCTAAATTTTAAAAACTGCACTTGGACATTCTTTTTGCCACTATAAAACTCATAATGGCAGAGAACCCAAATGGGAAATCATGAATACACATGATTCATTTGCTAATAAATTAGATTCCAGGTACTGTGATATTGATGAACTTAAGAACATTTTAATGTTCACATCAGATCTTTGCCAAATCTTGTTTACACAAGATAGACAAAGAGTAATCTTGTCAATTATTGTACTCTTTTATCCTGTGTAAAAGTATTTATTCCAAATTTTTGTAGGGAAAGTTATTTTGTTTCATGACTTTAATTTTTCATGCAAAAATCAGGAAAAAGAATATAACCGATATTATATTGCTCTTCAGACTTGATACCATAAAAACAATATGGGGTAATTTTCTTTTCCAGGGAATCTTCACTTCTTATGGGGCAGGGAAAAAAACATGAACAGCTTCCATTTTACATAATGTTGATTAATTTAGAATAGTAATGTAACTATTGCATTAATAGCACCACAAGATAATGGGCTTAGTAAGAGTTAATTTTTGAAGAGCTTTTTCTTTATGTAAAAGCTCAAGTGTTAATCTTATTTTTTTGTAGATATGGGATCTTTTGTGAGTGTGAAGACAAAGTAGTGATAAAATAATAATTGGTTCTTAAACGTTAGGCTTAACAGTAACAATTTTAACAATAGGCCACTGGTATTTATTTTCTGGCTGTGAGTATAAATACAATGGTTAGGAGTTTTAAGCATTCACAGTTTGTTAGATGTAATGTGTGCAATGAGTGGGTTTTTTGGGGGGGAAGTTTGGACTGGCACATACTTTTATGGAAGCTAGTAATGAAGATGTGCAATTTTTATGTAGAGTTTGTAGGTTGAAGGCTGTCATAATTCAAGTAGAGGGAATAGATAAAGAGAAGTGTAGACTGTGAGAAATGGCAGCAGGATTTGAGGAGGAGCTATTCTGTTGAGCAACAAATTTCAACCCTTGACTTCTGCAGATGAGGAACTATTGGAGGGAAGGAAAACAAAAGGGTCAGAGAAGGATGTGAATGATAAGGAGGTCATAGTTATAGGTGATTCCTTGACAAGGCATGTGGATATAATAGTCTGTAGGGTAAATAGGGAGAAAAGAATCAGATTATGCTACCCAGAGTTATGGGTGGAAGTTATAACTGACAGAGCAGGAGATATAATAAAGGGGGCTAGTAGAGGATATCAAAGATAATAGCAAAGAGATTGAATCCATTTGGGTTTCTATTAGTGGATATAGGGGGAAAAGGTTTTTAATGGGAAGCTGTTACAGACCACCAGATGATACTGATGAAATTAGTGAGAAACTTTACAATGAGATTAAGATTTCAGCTGTTGATGAAGTCATAATTATGAGTGATTTTAATTTCAGCCATGTAGATTGGAAAATACAAGAGTCAAAGCATGAGGGAGAAAGTTTTTGGAACTGCAAGTCAAGGAACCTACTAGAAGCAATGCTATTTTAAATTTATTGTTAACTTCAAATATAGAAATGATCAAGAGGGTGGAAATTGGGGAATATCTGGGTGCAAGTGATCATTGCTCTATTAAGTTCGATGTTTTGCTGCATATGAATATAAGGAATAATGATATTTTGGTTACAAATTTCAAAAAAGCAAATTTTGAAGGGATGAAACACGAATCATCTGTTGTGAATTGGGCAGCTGAGTTATTTGGAGACACTGATCAGATGTGGAAAATTTTTAAATATTCAAGGTAAACATATTCTTTAAAGAAAGAAAAGGGTAGCTGCAAGTAAAAAAACCAGGTTGGTTCACCAAGAGTTTAAGAGATAAAATTGAAGAAAAGAATAAAAAATTTAAATTGACTGGTATGACATGAGATTTACAAGATTATAGAAGATCAAGTTGTGTAACAGGAAATTAGGACATCAAAAAGGATGTACGAGAGAAAAGGTTGGCTGAAAATGTAAAAATTAACAGTAAGGATTTCTTTAAATACATTAA